AGAACAGAGGTGCGTGTGTGCCAATACGCAGGCTAGAAACTTCCACCCATATGATGCATGGGCACGTTTGTGCGAAAACATGTGGAGGCACATTGGTTGGACATCTGAGTGTGTGTAGTCATATGTGACTGCATGGGTTTCCTCCGGGTACTCCTGTTTCCTCACACATTCCAAAGACATGTTGGTAGGTTAATTGTCTCCTGTCTAAATTGTCCCTAGTATGTGTATGTATGAATGTGAGTTAGGGACTTTAGATTGTACACCCCTTGAGGGTTAGGGACTGATGTTAATGTACAATATATGTATGTAAAGCGCTGCGTAAATTGACGGGGCTGTATAAGTACCTGAAATAAAATAAATAATAAATAAATATGTGTGCATGTATCCTAATTCCTGGACTGGTGCCAAACACCCTACTTAAAGGAAAGAGTATTGACAGATGGTTGCCCAATGATCTTCAGCTAGCCCTTAGTGATTCCTACTCCTGTTTATCCTAATCTTGTGTTTTTCCTGATTCCCTGTTACTGACTCAGCTTTGCCCTTGGATTTCCCTCTGTCTGATTCCTAGTTGTGACCTTGACTCGTTTAAGGACCTTTTTTTATACTGATCAACCGTGTATGACCCTAGCTTTGGTTCCTGATAACTCTGGTACCTTCAATCCTACTGACCACCCGTGTATGACTGTCAGGGTAAGGAAGCCATGCGTCGGCGCACATCTATACACCAATGCTGGGTGCCTCTCGGCCGTGGCAGTGCGCATGCGGTAGTGCGCAAGCACACCGGCGAGCACAGGTGGGCTATTTAAACCCCTGTTGCACTTAAATCTCTGCCTTCTGGTCTACTATGTTCCGTGCTTGTTGCTTTGTATCCTGATTCCTGTTACTCACCTGATTTTACCTGACCATGATTGAACTCCGACTCATCCCTTGACTATCCACTTGCCTGTTCTCTGTACCTGATTTGCCCGATTGATCCTGACCCGGCTTGTCTGACGCTGCAACCTCTCCTGCCTGTGACTATCTCTGGCTGCCAGCTGCCCACGGTTGTCCAAACCTCCGTTATTCCTTCCTGCTGCTGCACCTGTTCACACCTGCAACCTCAACTGACCTGCATCCTGGTCTTCCGGGTCATCACCTGCCTGCTGTCACCTGAGACCCACCAGCCACTCATGCCTCTCCTGGCTCGGGATCTTCTGTTTACCATATCAGGGGTCCTGATCGGGAGTGGTAAGAGGACGCCCTGCTCTCCATGTCAGGCTGCCCAACCAGGTACGTGACAATGACCTTGGCTTGACTCCAGACCCCAACTCTCTCTCTCTACATCCCATTGCTCACCTGTATATGAACTTGGCTTAGCCTTTGACCTATACACCACTACCCTTTAGTCTGTTATGGTCAGGGTTCAGGCTCGGGGACCAGTAGCTATAGCAGTAGAGAGGCTCCCACTGACCAGCTGGATACGTGCAGCAGTAGGTCATCCTGGTGGATGACATGGGACTCACCTGAATCTAAGCACTAATCGGTGTTCACCAGAGCTCCTGATGGTGGGAGAAGGGTTTTGCTGCATGTTAGTACCAGGTTGTGGTCTTCAGGATTGAACCCCCACCAGGAGGTGAGCAAGCCAGGGTCCAGTACAGGGGTGAACTGATAACACATGGGACAATAGGGGATCATGGGGCCCCTGTCCTCGCCAACACCCAAAAAAACCTATGAAAAAGCCAATAAAAAGGTACCAGGGGCATCTCATGGGGCCCCCTACTGACCCTGAGCCCTCGGGCAGTGCCCTAGTGCTCGAATGACACTGTTCAACAAATTTTTATTTTTTTTCCAGTTTTTGGAAACAAAAGGATCCATTTCTTAATGAATTTCACATTCTGAGTTCAAATATAACAATGAAATTTGTCAATTGGCTCTAGTTTTTCTGTAAACGGAAAGTTTTCTACTATAGGCGTAATGACTACATAATGCACAATAATTATATAGATAGATGTCTTTCCACAAATATAAAGCAAGTGATATTGACTACATAACAAAGCCTAAATGGCATAATATATTGCATAGGATTACCAAGAAAAATTATAGCCATAAGCTAAGTTTGAATCATTTTTAATACTTAGGATTCTCACTAGTTTTTGTCTTCAGGTTTTGTGTCGGTTTTGCTTCTCTTGGCTTTTCTCTTGTATTCGAGGAAAGGGCTATCTCTTACAACTGCACGTGACTACACGCTTCAGGTTCTTCCTCACTTGACTCAACCACTAAGGATTCTGGTGCTTTAGGAATTGGTAGCCCCTCTCCATGAGGAACTGGACGTATTGCCGATGGAATATTTGGATAGTGCACAGATAACTTTTTCTTCTTATTTAGCCCTTTTACAATTGGAGGCACCATACAAAAGTAACAATTACTAACATGATCTGTTGGCTCTCTCCAAATCATTGGCACAGCGAAAGGCATAGATGCCTTTTTTCCATTCAACCATTGCTCCAGTGCCGTCCCACAAGAATTGCAGCATATATGTGGTGCCCAGCTCTTGTCCTGGTCTCCTATCTTGCAGCCAAAATACAAGTTGTAGGCTTTCTTAATCATTCCTGTTATGCTCCTTTTTTGTGAGATAAAAGTTATTTTCACCGCATATATAGCAGAAATTATCTGCTTTATTCACACAAGTTCGAGGCATTACTGAGTAGCCTATATAAGCATAAAACGAAATGTAAAGACGCTGTCGAACTACAATCAGCTACAGATACTGCAGCTTTTATGCAGTGAAGTGATGCAATTAAAGGCTAATATTGCATCATCTCAGTATACATGCAATTTTCTATTGGTCACCAGTATCAATTGCGCAATATGCAGCTGAAGTTGCATCATAATTTTGAATGGCTTACGTCATTAGATGGGTGAATATATCATGGAAACTAGAGCCAATCAACATTTTTTAGGGTCATTTTCGTTTTCAGCACCCCAAAATTATGTAAGATTAGCTAATTTTATGCCCAAAACTTTTTTACCTGTTGAACAGTGTGATCAGTCCGCCCCTGGTCCAGTACCATATATAGCAGGTTGGGATCAAACAGAAGTGTAGTCAGTAAACATGCCAAAGGTCGGTAACACGTGGTCGCAGATTGGGATTAAGCAAATGTCGGTAACAAGTGAGATACGAATGGCAGTTGGAGTGACAAGAGCAAGATATTGGCTGGAGAGAGCACAATAGTCTGGCAAATAGGAAGTGCAGAGAAATGGCTTAAGTTAGGAAGTTCATGGGAGGAGCAAAGATACAAGGCAAGATTGCCTAACAGATCAGAGCGGCACTTTACAGCATCTCAAGTGGCTCTGCAAGAAGAGTTACTGCCGGATACAGCAGAGGTTGTGGGTTCAGATCCCTCTTGGTAACTGTAGTGTAAAGAGTCCATTGGCCCCATTGTGTGGTTGCTGTCTTGAACTACAACTCCCATTGGGCATAACATCAGCACCACAGTAGAGAGTGGAGCAACAAAAGACATTGTATCCTCCATGTTGTATTAGTCCAGCACCTGGACACACTTGCAATGGACTGGAATATCTTCTTGCCAAATTTTGCCTGCTCTTCAGTACCCAGGAATCATCCTGGAAGGACGGTGACTTCACATGCAACAATGTGGAAGATTGGAGTACGGTAAATATAAAATCTAACTTAATTCACATCATTTCTATTGTGGACACGATTTCCTAAAGTAAGAATCTATTCTCAACAAGAAAAAGAAAAAAAAATTACCTACAAACCTCAATAAATCCATCCAGAGTCTCCAGTATACAACCTAATACAACAAAAGAGGGGGAAAAACAAACTGCTTAAAGGCTGCAACAGACAGGTATTTTAACAAAAAAAAAACCAAATAATCAAAATAATGAAAAAATTAATGAAAAAAAAAATAATGATATGAACCGATGCCCCTCGTCAGTTTTATTACAGAAAATAATCCAAAATACATTTAGATACACATGCACCCAGGGGGAGATCACTTAGACAGAGTGGGATATGTAGACAGATGGGCACTGGCAGGGGCGGACTGACCATTTGGAAACTTGGGCACTGCCCGAGGGCCCAGGGTCAGTAGGGGGCCCCATGAGATGCCCCTGGTACCTTTTTCATAGGCTTTTTTGAGTTTGGGCAAGGACACAGGGGCCCCATAATCCCCTATTGCCCGGCGGGCCCCATGAGTTGTCAGTCCACCCCTGCATGCACCCCATAAAAACAATACCCACCACAAGAAAAAATATAATATAATGAGATATATCTAATAAAATTATTTCACCGACATTTCCTTAAAAAAAGATATTATCAAAAATGCATCATGGAGTGATTCACCACCTAGATATCAGTAAACTCAATAATGTGCATATGGAACTATAACCATTACCTATCAACATATTGAGGCTGTCAAGCACATCAGCATTATATAAATAAATATAGAAAAAAAAAGAATAAACACAAACATAGAAAAGTAAATCATATTTATTACAAAAAAAATTCAAAATCTTTAAAATAGGGGAGTCTGCTCTATTTATCCTGAAATATAAAATAAAATAGCACAAATGTGTTGACTTTATTTTCAGTTACAATATCTACTAAACATTTGTAACTGTACATAGAATACAGGATAGTATTAAGGATGCCACATACAGATCAAAAAATTGTTTTTGTTTTTGTTTTTGTAAATTGATTTTATCTTTCAGGACAGTGCAAACTCTCTATTTTTGAACTTTTGACATTTTTGTAATAGTTACAATTTATTTTTCTATTTTTGTGTTATTCATTTTCATAGCATTTGTTGATGTGCTCGACTTACCTCATTAGGTGGATAGGGAATGGTTTATGTATTTTAGACACAGCAATTTTTAAGAAATGAAAAATTCGATTCGACTGATTCGGCGAATTCGTGGACAATATATTCCGATTCGAGACGAATAAATTCGCTGTGAATTTAACTTAATAAAGGGTGTTTCTAGGCTTCAGAGAGACTTAATATTAGTGCAGAACACTGTACCTTTAATTTAAATGCCCTTGGAGTCTGCTGGGGAAGAGAAATAATACTGTCAGTCAGTATGACATGCAGATGAGTGCCGTCGATCTTAGAATCACCGCACACTTCACTCATTTGGGCAGTCACGGGGCCAAAACCAGAGTGTGGAGCCACAGTGTGGCGGTGGAGGCAGCAGCAATGGGAGGCCATACAGCACCCTATGACAAAAAAATGGAAACCACCAGCAGTGTGAGGAGACCTGAAAGTGGCACATGGCAGAGTGTGGCGATAGAGACAGCAGCAAATGGGAGGCCGTACAGGGACCCATGACACACTCTGGACCTGGCAGCAGCATGAGGAGGAGCGCGGTACAGGGGCCCATGACAGATTACGGGTCCTGGCAGCAGCATGAGGAGTCGGTACAGGGGCCCATGGCAGATTACGGGCCTGGCAGCAGCAATGGGAGGCCGTACAGGGACCCATGACACACTCTGGACCTGGGCAGCAGCATGGGGAGGCGGTACAGGGGCCCATGACAGATTACGGGCCTGGCAGCAGCATGAGGAGTCGGTACGGGGGCCCATGACACACTCTGGACCTGGCAGCAGCATGAGGAGGCGGTACAGGGGCGCATGACAGATTACGAGCCTGGCAGCAGCAACTTGGACAGGAGGACGTTCAGCTTCTGCACCGTCGGGTGCGTGCTCGCAAACTGTTGTCTCTTGGAAACGGATTCCAAGAAAGACTGCTGCCGGAATCCCGTGAAGATGAGTAGCAGGAGAAGGAGCATCTGAACGAGCGGAATATGCCAACAAGCGACAACAGGGGCCCATGACAGATTACGGGCCTGGCAGCAGCATGAGGAGTCGGTACGGGGGGCCCATGGCAGATTACGGGCCTGGCAGCAGCTATGGGAGGCCCGTAATCTGCCAGCACCCTATGACAAAAAATGGAACCCACCAGCAGTGTGAGGAGACCTGAAAGTGGCACATGGCAGAGTGTGGCGATGGAGACAGCAGCAATGGGAGGCCGTACAGGGACCCATGAGAGACTCTGGACCTGGCAGCAGCATGAGGAGGCGGTATAGGGGCCCATGGCAGATTAGGGGCCTGGCAGCAGCTATGGGAGGCCCGTAATCTGCCCAGCACCCTATGACAAAAAAATGGAACACACCAGCAGTGTGAGGAGACCTGAAAGTGGCACATGGCAGAGTGTGGCGATGGAGACAGCAGCAATGGGAGGAGGCCGTACAGGGACCCATGAGAGACTCTGGACTTGGCAGCAGCATGAGGAGGCGGTATAGGGGCCCATGGCAGATTAGGGGCCTGGCAGCAGCTATGGGAGGCCCGTAATCTGCCAGCACCCTATGACAAAAAATGGAACACACCAGCAGTGTGAGGAGACCTGAAAGTGGCACATGTTTGGGGCATGATTCATGGCGGATTTAGTCAGTTGTGTCAGGAACTGGTGGTTTGAAATCCAGACTAATCCACGCCTGATTCATTTTCACAAACGTGAGTCTCTCCACACTTTGGGTGGACAGTCCGTGTCCTCCGCGGAGTTGCAATACCTCCTGCCGCACTAAACACGCGCTCCGATGCCACGCTACTGGCCGGGCATGACAGCCTTTCAAGGGCAAATTCAGCTAGTTGGGGCCAAAGGTCAAGTTTCGTTGCCCAGTAGTCAAGGGGATTGTCTACCTCGGTTGGCAGGGTGCTGTCCAAGTAGGCCTAAGCCTGTTGTTTGAGGTCCTGCTCCAGGTCCACCTGATGCTGCTGCTGCTGCTGCTGCGGCTGGTTAGTAGTTTTTCCTCACTGCGCTGGTGAAGAAAGCTACTCATCATCGACTGCAGACTGAGGCAGCCGCTGCTGGTGGAGCTGCCACTGCTCCTACCACCCCACCCCCCCTCCCCTGCTGCCATGGCAGCGGAACACGAGCGCACAGGGCCCACAGTGTCTGAGGATGGACGTTGGCGCAGACAGGCAGAGACCAGCTGACTACATAGGTGTTTTTTATAGTACGTTATTTTGGCCTCCCTCTCAGCAGGTGTGAAAAAGCCACCATTTTTGAACGGTAGCGAGGGTCCAACAAGGTGGACAGCCAAAAGTCATCCCTCTGTCTGATGGTTTATTATTCGGGGCTGTCGCTACGCAAGCAACCGAGCATGCTATGTGGCCATTTGTGCCAAGGAATGCGAGGGACTCCCTGCCTCCATCTCCACAGCATACTGCCACGGTGCGTCTAGGTCCTCTGTCTCCTCTTCCTCCTCCTCTACCAGATGCTCCTGCTCCTCCACTCCTGTCCGCTGAGTGGAAAAAACCACCCATTTCACTCAATAATTCCTGAGCACCAATGTCCTCCTCTACCTCCTCCTCCTCTTCTTCCAGTCCTGCCCCCACAGGGGCCATGTGGCGTTGAGATCTGTGCGCCACGTCTACCGCACCCTGACCAGCCATTGTTAACAGCATTTGTTCCAGGACGTGCAACAGAGGAATGACGTCGTTCATCCCATAGTCCTGCCGACTCACGAATAGCGTGGCCTCCTCAAAGGGCCTGAGCAAGCGCAGGTGTCACGCATGAGCTGCCAATGGCTGACATCTAAGTTACACAGGGAGTACCTTTATCTGCTTTTAACATCAGGAAATCTGTGATGGCCTTTTGCTGTTCGTAAAGGCGGTCTAAACATATGTAGGGTTGAATTCCACTTGTTGCAACGTCACAGCATGAGGAGTCGGTATAGGGGCCCATGGCAGATTAGGGGCCTGGCAGCAGTTATGGGAGGCCCATAATCTGCCAGCACCCTATGACAAAAAATGGAACACACCAGCAGTGTGAGGAGACCTGAAAGTGGCACATGGCAGAGTGTTGGCGATGGAGACAGCAGCAATGGGAGGCCGTACAGGGACGCCCATGAGAGACTCTGGACCTGGCAGCAGCATGAGGAGGCGGTATATAGGGGCCTACGGCACACACCAGACGAGCTGTGTGAAAATCGAGACCTGAAAAGTGGCACATGGCATAGTGTGGCGATGGTCGACAGCAAGCAATGGCAGGCCCGATACATGGGACCCATGACAGACTCTAGACTTAGTGGCGCTAAGCAGCGCATGTAGGAGGCGGTATATAGGGGGGCCCATGGCAAGATTAAGGGGCCTGGCAGCAGCTATAGGAGCGCCCGTAATCTGCCACCCCCACCCTATGTCAAAAACATTCATACACCCCAGCCAAGTGTGAGGAGACCTGAAAGTGGCACATGGCCTCAGAGTGTGGCCGATGGATGACAGCAGCAATGGGAGGCCGTACAGGGACCCCATGACAACTCTGAACTTGGCAGCAGCATGAGGTTGGCGGTATATAGGGGCCCATGGCAGATTAGGGGCATTCTGGCAGCAGCTCTATGTGAGGCCCGTAATCTGCCATGCACCCTATGTCAAAAAATTTAACACACCGCAGTGTGAAGGAGACCTGAAAGTGGCACATAGGCAGCAGAGTGTGGCGATGGAGACAGCAGCAATGGGAGGCCGTACAGTGGGGACCTATTGAAACAGACTCTGGACTTTGGCAGCAGCATGAGGAGGCGGTATATAGAAGGGCCCATGGAGCAGATTAGGGGCCTGGGCAGCAGCTATAGTTGAGGCCCGTAATCTGCCTGCACCCTATGTCACAAAATTTAACACACCAGCA